GCTCGTCGGAGTACCGTTTTAAATTAATATGTCTTTTTTATACCTTTTTAATTATTCGACCGTCGAAGCAGCTTTTGCAAGCGCATAAAAAAGAAAGTATACGTAAATCTATATTTTTTAATAGTTTTTATATTTTTAATAAGTTTTCTTATTCGAAATATTTAAAACGCTTATATTAAACAACTTAAGCTTTTTTAATAAAAAAAGCGGTTAAAAGTCGATATTAAAATCGTTGTTAAAGAAAATTTAAAGTATCGAAAGTCGAAGTTAATTAAAAGAAATAAGCGTAGCTTCGTTAATTAAAATCGAAAACTTTATGGATATAATCTAAGCGAAAAACTCGGTTTATAAGCTAGCGCAAATCGATATTAAAGCAAAACAAGTCTTAAGCGATTCGAGCGGTGAAAATTAAAAAGTTTTTGCTTAATAAAAAAAGCAAAGCACTTTTCTCGCTTAAAGTCATACTTACACCTTTTCGAATAAGATTCAAACAAAAGAAAAAGTTAATATTAAAGTTCGGATAATAAATAACGTTATATAAACGAATTTAATCGAAGCTGCTATCGTTCGTTTTAACGAATAAAGCAATTATGCTTTTCTTTTAAAATAAAAGTAAATGACCCTTTATTTTAAAAACGGTAGTTGCTTCGCTTAAATCGAATAAAAAGATATTTTCGAAAAACTTTTAACGGTAAAACATATGCTTAATATAGCTATTATTAAAAATAAAAGTGTTTTCGAATATATTTAAAAACTAAAAAGCGAAAGCGTATAAGGTTTCTTAAAAGAATTAAAAAAAAGAGTCCTTAAAGAAAGCTTTAATAAAAAGTGCGGCATGCTAAAGTAAAAAAAAAGAAAAATAAAAAAACATTGTTACGACGGTAAACCGTCGTGTTTTTTAAATAGTAAAAAAATAAAATAAAAAATAAAGTAAAAAAGTAAAGATTATTAAAAAAATAGAAATTATTTAATACTTAAGAGTAAAAATAATACTTGATAACAAAGTCTAAAGCTTTCGAAAACGCTGCTTTAATTAAAAATTGCGAAAAAAGTTAAGTCGAAGAAAAAAATAATGCTTTTAAATTAGTTTTAATTAAGATAATCTACTTTAAGCAAACTTTAATTATTAATCTATATTAAAATCTCGAACGTCGAAAGCGGATTGAAAAGTCTTATTAACGCAATTACGAATCGATAGCATAAAGAAAGCAGCGGAAAGAGTTTTCTCGAAAGAGTCGGTATTTTTAACTGTTTTTAATTTAGCTTGCTTAATAGCTTTATTTTTACGCTTTTTTTCGATTCGTTTATCGAAAGCAGCTTTTAAATAAAAGTAAGCTACTACGCATTCCGGCTTAAAATAATAAAGTTTTTTATAATAATTATAAATTATAATAAACTTATTTCTTTTTGCAAGTTTATTAAGTTTTTCGTATACGAAAAATGCTTTGCTCGAAAAGTATTATATTAATTGCTATTCTTTACGAGTAAAAGCTATAAGATTAGCGAAAGTAGTTTTAGATTTATCGCCGTCGATATAATCGTTATTCGAGACTTAATTAAATTTAAAGTTTTCGTACGAAAACGATAATTAATTAACATAAACTTTAATTATTTATAAAGCGGAAAGTTAAGTATTGTTATCAAGAAGCTTAAGTTATCCGTTTAAGCGCATGAATTCGTTATTAAAAAAAGTAACGTCGTCGAACTCGTTAATGCGAAGAGCGAGTAACGCGGATTAAAAACGATAAAGCGTCGCGACGCTTTTAAATCGAAATCGTTTTTTTAAATCTATTAATAATAGCTTTTTAAGATCGTGCTCTTTAAAGTCTCCGACGATTATAAAGCTTATTCTTTTTCTTTTAACGAAGTTTATAACGGTTAGCTCGAGTTTATTACGGATAAAAAAGCAATTTTAAGTTTAGAGTTCGTTTTACGCGTCGAGTCTTTTTTTAAACGCAGACTCCGTTTCGCTTAAAAAGCGAGTTTATCGGACTTTTATACTTTTAAAGATTTTTTTATAAAAGTAATTTTTATTAATAAAAGCGAAGTCGATACGTCGAAAGAACTCGACTTAGTTTTCTTCGTCGAAGAACAGAACGGTAAAGAAAGCGGAAAAAAAAGTAGATTAAGTATCCGTAATTATTTTTAAAAATCGAAGTTTTAATAAGCTTAATAAAATCTTTAACGTTAACTAATAGTGCTAAAGTAATATTTATCGAGATATTCTTATAAGTAGTAAAAGAGTTCTTTAATTCGGAAACCGAAAAGTAAAGTAAATAAAAAAAGATAAAAAAGCTTTTCGTTCGAAGCTAATAAAAAAGAAATGTTTAAATCTAATTCGATATTAAAAAGTTAGAAATTAAAATTAAAGTTACGATCTTTAGCAAAGTCGAAAAATTAAAAAAGAATATTAATAAGTGTTTATATATAATTTATAAAAAGATCAAAGCGATAAAAAAAAGTAAAGTTAAAAAATTAAAAGATCTTACGAGTTTTCGTATTCTTTAATAATACGAAAGTATCGTCCGTAAGAAAAGCCTTTTTTAAAGTCTTTCGAAGTTCTTAATTAATTAAGCTATTCGCAGCGTCTTAATCTATAATTAGTTTGCGATAAAACAAGTGAAATTAAAAATAAAATAAAAAATCTATTAAAGTTGTCCGAATTCTATTTTATCGTAAAAGCTAAAGCGCGCTAACGTAATTCGGCTAAGTCGTTTAAAACATAATAGTCTCGATAAAACAGTTTTCGATTAATATTAAATATAAATAAAGTATATATACAAAATAAATCTATAAAAAGTTAGATCTCGGAAGATTAAAGTTTATTTTAGCGTATTCCGTCGAAAAGTTTATAAATATATATATATATATATAGACCTTAAATAAAGACTATTATCCGAGATAAGTTATTATTAAAGTGTTTTTAAAAATAAAAAGTCTTATATTTTTAAAAAAAAATATAGAAAGTTAGCGATAAACGCAAGCAATAAAAAAAAAGAGTTATATATATCGCTAGAAAATAGTTTTAAAAAAGAATATCGTGTTCCGTACCGTTTTGATTTTATCTTTACGAAAGGTTCGATATTAAAGAAATCGCAAAAAGTATTAATTATAGTATTTCGGCGCTAAAAAAGTCGCAGCGAAAGCTTATAACTTATTAAACGGTAACACGGAAAAGAAGATAAGTAAAAAGATTCTTGATTATTGTCTAATGAACTTAAAAAGTAGCCTTTTACTTATACATTTAAAAAGGTCTTAACACGTAATAAGTCTATCACTTGATCACATCCGACAGCTTTTATAAGTAGCGTTATTATTATTATTATTACTAGCAATAACACTTTTAACACAAACATTCCGGCATATTTATTACGCTAAATATAAAGCTCGAAAGCAATTGATATTATAAATATCGATACGGCGAAGACTTTTATAACGCGTAAGCGCGTCGTAAAGCAAAAAGTAACGGAATACGAACGTATAACTTCGATCTTTATTTTTAATTTTTTACTTTTAGCAATCGCTTGAAAGCTTAAAGTAGCTATAAATTAGTTAAGTAGAAACTTAAAGTGAGGCTTAATATCTTACTTTTAACGGACGCGGACGCAGACTCGAAAGACGAACATATTTTATAATTTATTTAATAAGTAATATATTAATAGGAACCGGCTAAGGTTATACGATACGGTTTAAACTTAATATATACGTCGGATAAGCTAATATAAAACGCTTTATACTTAATCATTAGATTATACTTTTTTTAACGTATAAATATAAGATAAATATAATATGCGTGCAAAAATTAATCATTTATTTTAATATAAAGATATAAATACACTTCGCTTTTAATATTTACTTATTAATAGATTCGTAAAAAACTTCGAAAGACAATTTCAAAGTTAAAAAGCTTCAAGTCTTTATATACATTCGTAAAAGAGCTAGACTTTATATAAAGCAACGACGATCGGTTTAAAGTCAAGATATGCTTTAGATTGACGTTAATAAATATATTATCTTTAACGCTTATAGATAATCGATTATTAATAAAGTTATCGATTACGTTTTACACTTTATACTTAATTATAAGTGCTTAATAAAAGAGGACTTTAATATACAACACGAGATGTTCGAATTAAAAGTCCGGACCGCTTATCGAAAAAAAGACTTTGCGGATTAATTTATAGCGAGCGGCATAGACTTTATCGGCGTGCTAAAAAAAACTTATATACTAGCTCGGCTATATTCTAGACTTTACTTTTTTAAATATTCCGTACGCTATTACGGTAATAAGAAAGGACTTGCATAGCACTTTAAACTATTAGACTTTAATTATTACGATACTAAGCCGAAAGCGTATGCCGATAAATTAGTTTTATAAATAAATAGCGGACAAAGATATAAATAGATTCGAAGACTTTATACGTAACGGTATAAATACTTTTTTTAACTTTTCGAGCTTTTACGATTCCGTATAAATTAAGCGAAGTGTTTTAACTTTCGCGAAGATTTTTAAAGACGCAATTAAAGCTATCGGTGTTAGAGTAAGAAATTCTTACACTACGAGGTCTGTGCTGTTGCTGCCAAGCAACTCTCGAAGATACGGGTAGTGACTGCCAGTTGGAAGAAAGACTAGCTAGCGTAAAAGGAGAACTGTATACAGTTCTCTTTCTCTTGACAAGGATTCTCTCCTCCTTAGATAACTGAAATCAATACCTTTTGGAACCACCTTCTGCTTCCCCATCACAAGGAAGAATTATCTTCTTACAGGTTATGAGCCTTTGATGCCTAGAAAGTGACGGAACACGCAACCCGCAATACGCAACCCGCAAACTCGTCAATTGACTTGAGTTCTCGCCCTGTGCGAAGTACTACCTGGTGGTAGTAGAAAACCAACCCCCCCCCCCCCCCTCCTATTAAACCATCGATCGTCGCTCAGCATCAATCCTTTATCAATTCATCAGCATAGCTACTACTCGAGAAAAATTCGCTAGAACAAGACAATGGAAGGGCGTAAAGACCCTTACCAAATCGAATTCAGACGAATGGTTCGAGACCATCGAGACGGTCGCATAAAGCGAGGATGTCGCTTATCTATTAGACCACTCGGAATCCGAATACTGCTATATAACAATTACCAAGGCACCTTTGCAAGGATACGATGTTGGTGACGGCACTTGGAAGGTCTTAAAGGGACTCGATAAAGATGAATACGATAAATTGATATACGAGAATAAAGGTCTTTTAAAGATATTTCGGGTTGAGACGGCGAAATTCAAACTCAACCTCTTTCGGAAGCTTGGCGAGTTCGATCGTCAAAGGATTAAAGACCTCTTCGATATCAAATCCATGATCTAGAGGCTAAAGACTATCTACACCGCTATTACATTCCGATCCATACAAATCAAGCTCTAGGCCCTTACCAATTTCCGCATGGACCTTAGAATTTCCTTTAGCAATAACTAGGAACGCGTTTTGGTATGCCGCCGTGAGGCACATAAAGGCTTAAGGAAGGATCAATTCGACGATGATTACTGCTAGTTGATCTTTTGCACTGGACTTGTGCCTTTAGAGACATACACACCGTTGTGCGATGGCTTTACCTCCTTTATGACGATAGATCAAAAGTTAGAACGTTTAGATGAGAAATGGGAGTCTATCGCTAACTTGAAACCTTAAGAAAAGGCATTCGCATCTTACTACTCGAGTGACGAGGGAGCTTATACGGCTAGCCGACAAACGTCTTACAAAGGAGCTCCTTCGGGTCGACAATCGCGCAGTCGTCGACGATCTCGATCTCCTACTTTCAAGGCTGAATGTTTCAAATGCGGTTCTAGCAAGCATGCTAGTCTCACATGTCAGTTCGCTGAGATTGGTTTCAAGGCCGCTAAAGCTGCTCGAATCTTTAAGGAAAGAGAGGAATCTAATGAGGCGTCACGGACATATCAGCCACCGTTACCCAAAGGAAGACCGACATCCCTTGGCCCCTTGTACAGAAACAACTCTTTACCACCTTACAAGACAAAGTCCAATTGGCGTGCTAGAAGCAAATCTAATAGCACTCGCAAAGATGAAAGGGGATTTGCCGCCGACACAGGATCTGATTCTCTAAGCGAGACCTCCGACATCGAGGAGTTCGCTGGCTTATCTTGGGAGAAGCGTAGTAAGCTCTTACTTATACTAGCAGCCGCCGACACTAGTTGTACTAGCCATATGACTGATTCTTTGTCCTTATTCAGCAAGCCATTGACCCTATGCAGAAAAGGGATCTAAGTCGAAAGAGGAAAGCTTTATTCGGATGGCGTTAGGACTGCTTAGATATCGTTGCAAAGCGGGAGGACTATCCACTTAAAGGATACACTGCATGTCCTTGGTTTAAGATGCATATTAGTATCGGCAAAGAAGCTTGCTAGCTCTAGTATTATAAGACAATTCGATGATCAGAGGATGATCTTCATACGCAAGTCTGACAACATGCCTTTGATTAAGGCTAAAGTGCGGAATAGATTGTATATCCTTTCGAAGTTCTCTAAGGAGGCTGATAGAATGTCCTTCGCTACTAAGAGCACGCATCACGCTAACCACGACGATGCTGATGCCAGCGTTATGCTTATACACGTAGATCATATTGATCCTTTACTCTAAATAGACTCAATTGACAGTTGGACGTCACCAAAGCCATTAAGACCTTGCCTTTCGAAGCGCACTCGGTACCCAGCTAGGTATGCTGCTTTCGAAGCAGCAGAAGACCTCTAATTTGCTACCGCCAACCCTTACGAAGCCTTGAGTAGTGACAGCGAGGTCTCTTCGGTAGATAACCAAGAGCTTAGCGAAGTGGAGCGTTTGCTACCCGATTTGGAGTTCAACGGCTTTAAAGACAATATATCGAAGAGAGAAAGGAACAAAGTGGCACGCAAGATTAGAAAAGTCGCTATCTAACAAAGCGAGATTCGCTTTAAAGCCGCACCTTTTACATTAAAGGAACGTCGCTTACAACGAGAACTCTTTCGGTTTATTGCTTACTATAAGCGCTTCAACCATTGCAGCACCGAAGCACTTTCATTATTACACACGGTAACAGATATTAAGAAGATTGTGATCCTTTTAGTCATCCTTTTGTGTGAGTCGTGCGCTCGATAAAAAATATTTAAAAAAAAGCCTAAGAAGCTCGCTAAGCATAGCACTACTATACTTGGGAAACTCAATTTTGACGTGGCTAGTCTATTCCTACCATCTATGAGAGGCTACCGATATTTTAGCGAGCTCATAGATAGCTGGACTCGCAAAACCTGGACCCTTTTGTTCCGAGATCGGAAAGAAGTCAATGAGATGTTAACTAAGAAGAAAAGAGAGCTCGAGCGACAATCAGGCCAGCCTCTATTAGCAATAAGTACCGATAATGCGCCGGAAATCCTTAAAACTATCACCGCTTAGGCTAAGGCAAAAGGAATATCTATTTATAACACGGAGCCTTATTCGTTATACCAGAATGGCCTTGCGGAGCGCTCTATCAAAACCACCGAGCACTGCATTAGGACGGCACTTGATAATGCCGAGCTGCTCGTCGAGTTTTGGTGTGAGGCTGTTGAAGCGCAGGCATACACTCGTGCTAAGCTACGTCGAGGCCTTAAAGTAGTGGAAGATGTTATAGACGAAGTAACGGAGCAACCTTTCCGTATGGAGTATAAGATATCCTTTTAAGAGGCTTGGACGGGGAAAGTGCTGAAGGTCAAGGACTATATCAAAACGTAGGGCTGTAAAGTCATTGCCTACGTTCCTCGAGAATCCCTTTTAGCTAAAACTAGAAAGGATAAGCTTATGCCTTCGGGTAGAGAAGGGATCTTTATAGGCTACGACGAGAACACTACCTCTTACTATAAGGTGTACATTCCCGAGATGCACAGCACCACTATCTCGTCTAACGTCAAGTTCTTTAAGGATATTTCTAGCAAGGCGATCGACGATTTTAAACTTTAGGTTGAACTGTCCGACGGTACATTCAAGGAATCAGATGGCACGTACAATCAGCATGTCACTCGTGCGCGTAAAGGACGGCCAAGATTCGCCAACTTACTTACGGTAGACTCGGTCCGTAATAAGCAGATTAAACACCTTCCAGACTCCGTCACAAGAGTAAGGGAAGGATTAGCCCTTGGAACTAGAAATCACTCACCCGATAAGACGATTAACTATGACCTCGGAACGCCCTCTGTACTAGTAGCGACACCCTTTCGCGTCATACGATCTCAAACGAAGAATGCTGCTCTTCGGAATAAAGAATCGGAGGGAGCCGAGGGCACTTCGCTTCCAAAGTCAATATCGCTTATTACCGAGACGAAATTAAGCGAGGACCTTGGTGATGAACCGAAGGGCCCGACTCCTTTTAGGCAAGACCACCAAGTTGCACAGGTTACCCTTACAAAGACCACCGGTACAAAACGGAAGGCCGACAAAGAGCTTCCTAATGCTTCTAAGACATCAGTCCAGCCTCGGCAAAGCTGGAACTTGCCCGGTACTGAGCTGGATAAGCGTGCAAGTGATACTTTTAACCTCGGTAAACGATATGCCAGGACTTCTACGTTCCAAACCTCGCTTGTTACGAGGAAGAGAAAAGGCTTGTTATCAACAGAAGACGAAAAGGCTATGATGGCCATCCTCGATTGGTTTGATGAGGCTGACAATGTGTCGGGTGCCGAAGAGATAGCAATGATAGCGCACGCAGCTAAACATGACATCCTTATTCCTATTACTTATAAAGAGGCTGTAGAACATCCTATATACGGCAAGAGATGGAAGGAAGCTATTGATGCCGAGTTTGCTGCGCTTATTACTAATCATACATAGGAGGAACGCATCCCTCCGCTTGGAGCTAATCTTATTAGCTGTAAATAGGTGTTTACGCTTAAGTTCAAAGCAGATAGGACTCTTGAACGGTTCAAAGCTAGGCTCGTGGCGAAAGGTTTCTCTCAGATGTACGGCGTTGATTATAACGAGACATTTGCACTTACAGTCAAAATGGCGACCCTTAAAGCGTTCTTTGCAATAGTTGCTTGTGAAGATATAGAAACACGCTAATTCGATATCAAGAACGCTTTTACCGAGTCTACTCTTAAAGAAGAGCTATAGATGAAGATGCCGAAAGGCTTAGAGCGCACGAAGCGAGGGTCCGCGCTCCGATTATTACAATCTTTATACGGCTTCAAGCAGTCTGCACGCGACTGGAACCTTCTGATGAAGAGGGAGCTCTTTAATTAAGGATTCGTACAAAGCAAGGCGGATCCTTGCTTGTTTGTGCACCCCGAGAAGGAAATCAGGCTCTTAATGTACGTGGACGACTTGGCTACCGCTGCCTTAGACGTCAAGGAGCTCGACTGGTTTGAAGATCGCTTACAATCACGATTTGTTACTAAGCCAATGGGCGAAATATCAATGATCCTCGGAATTAAAGTTATTAAGGACAGAGCAAAAAGGACTGTTGAGCTTAATCAAGAGATATACTTAGACAAAGTCTTGAACAAGTTTAGGATCCCGAACCCCGTTTCTAATGTGAAGAATGTATCCACACTTATAGATGGCTATAACGATCTCCGCCCAGCTTCGGACCAAGATAAGAAGGTTGATGCTATTTGGTACCGTGAAGTAATTGGTTCTTTGATGTATGCGATAGTATACACACGCCTAGACGTCGCTTTCGCACTCGGTCGCTTGAGCTAGTACATGCAGGACTTAGCAGAACATCACGCTTTAGCGCTAAAGCGCTTGATGCGCTACTTACGGTTCACTATCTCCTTCGCTATCTCTTTCGGTCCTTTAAGGGACCTAGTAGTTTACTCGGATGCAGATTACGATGGCGATAAGGATAGCAAGAAAAGCATCTCCGCTGCAATAGGCCTTATAAGAGGAGGGCTAGTATTCTTCGGAAGTCGCAAACAAACCTTTGTAGCCACGGCTATTACAAAGGCCGAATACGCAGCTATATGCTATACCGCGAAGCAAGGCCAATGGGTTGCTTAAATCCTTCGTGATATGGGATTCGGTGGCTATATAGCTAAGAATCATCAAACTGTACAGATGAAAGGAGACAACTAAGGCGCTATTGCACTCGCTAAAAACCTTTATCTTACGGAACGATCAAAACATATCGACATCGCTTATCATTATGTTCGCGACTTGGTAGACCAAGGGAAGTCTTCCGTGTCTTATATACTTATAGCAGAAATGGCCGCCGATGGTTTTTCTAAACCTTTATCGAAAGTCCTGTTTCAAAGATTTGTTAAGATGATAAGTATGACTGATCGATCGAAGCCAGTATCTAACTCTTAGATACACGAAAGACTTCGCTTAAGCTTCTTCATATATCGAGGAGGGAGATTGGTTCTCTCGACAAAACAAAGAAGCAGTGGGAGCAGTGGGAGCTGTTAGCAGCACCAGAGTGGGAGTGTTAGAGTAAGAAATTCTTATACTACGAGGTCTGTGCTGTTGCTGCCAAGCAACTTTCGAAGATACGGGTAGTGACTGCCAGTTGGAAGAAAGACTAGCTAGCGTAAAAGGAGAACTGTATACAGTTCTCTTTCTCTTGACAAGGATTCTCTCCTCCTTAGATAACTGAAATCAATACCTTTTGGAACCACCTTCTGCTTCCCCATCACAAGGAAGAATTATCTTCTTACAATCGGTATACTTTATCGAAATATAAGCAAGACAGCTTTTTAATAGACTTTAAAAGTTAAACGAGCTTATTATAATAATAGTAATAGTAGTATTCGTTTAACGTCCACGAGTCGCTTTTTACAGCGAGTCTTATGACCTCTTTAAAGGTATATAAACGTGCAGCTAGTCTTTATATATATAAAAGCATAAGACGTATATAGCGTAAGAGTAGTAGTAGTAGTAGTAGTAGTAGTATTCGTTTAACGTCCACGGGTCGCTTTCTACAGCGAGTCTTGTGACCTTCTTAAAGGTATATAGACGTGCAGCTAGTTTTTATATATATAAGAGCACAAAACGCATATAGCGTAAGAGCAGATCTCGAGAGAATAGTACAAGTATAACGGTGTTTCTTTTCATTAAAACGGTGTGTAAGGAATATGTTAAGCAAGCATATAAGCGGGTTTTTTATAAAAGACCGAAGTCAATATCGTTTGTCGAAGCAAGCTACGCGAGTAGCTAAGTTTATAACGGAGCACTTAAGCTCGTTTAATATAAAGTGAAAAAGAAAAGAAAGAAAGAAAAATTATTGTAAACACCTTGCCTGATAAGGTACCTGCTATGGCCACTAGGGCTACACTAAACGGACCTATCTTCTATAAGAGGGCACACATCTTTTAGTTAAAATAATCAACGAGCTTTTTACTTATTTTTTTTAGCACTTCTTTGTAAGACCTTAAGGTCTAACTTTAGTGTTAAGCTTTTGTATGACACGTCTTTTTTAGTGCTTTTATATTAGTGACTTACGCAAGGATTCAAACTTTTAGTCTCTGTCCTTATATAGCTTATTATAATCGCTTGATTCGTAGTCAAGTTGATCTTCGTTTATTATTTAGCATTTTATACTTAATTACAACTTTAAAACAATTAAAACTTTATTCCCGATAAGTTCGGACACCGAAACGCCGCAATAGTCGAAGTGTAATATTTCGGCTCTTCGGCAAAAACTCTTTTTTATTATCAATAAGAAAGAATTTTCATTTATTAATGAAAATACCCTTTTATACTTTAGCTCTTATCTTAAATTAGAGCAATTGATATGGTCCGGAGTTATTAGCGAAGCTAATCACTGTAGAAGCACCGAAAAAGACGTGTCATATAGAAGCCCGACATTGAGGCTAGACTTTATAGTCTTATAAAGAAGTGTTAAAAAGATAAGTAGAAAGCTCGTTGATTGTTTTAATTAAGAGATGTGTGCCCTTTTATAAAAAATAAGTCCGTTTAATATAGCTTTAATAATTATAGCAAATACTTTATTAAGCAAAGTGTTTATATCCGTCCTTTTATAAAATAAGTAAGCGCTCCCGCCTACTATCAAGCAAAAAGAAAAAAAAAAGTATAAAAGAAAGAAAAAATCTAATATACAAAAAAAAAGAAGTATCTTATCTTTAAACTTTAAACATTTAAACTACGCTTTAGCAGCTTTTTTATAATCTTTTTCCGTGCTTACGTCTTTAATTCTTTCGTTCTCTTTAAGCTAAGAGGGTCTTCTTTTCTTAGCAAAGCTAGTATTAGATAATGACGTGCTAATAGCAGCATCTTTAAAGATAAAAGAGCGCGTATTGTTCTTGCGTTTATTGCCGGTAGCATCGTTAATAAGTGTGAACTTAGCCGATAGAAAGTTAACAAAGCTAAAATAAAGTTTAAAGCTAATAGTTAAGTCGTTTTCGTCTTCGAGCAAATCATTTAAAGCTTTTATAGCTTTATCGAATGCGCGGTCTAAAGATTCCGGCTAAAAAAATGATGCTTTAAGGTCGTCGATTTAGCTTATGAATCGTAATTCACAAGTAGATTTCGCACTTTCTAAAGTGATTTTTATACTTAAATCGAAGTCGTTAAAAAACAACTTAATCGGTCGCAAGCTCTCTTTAAAATCCTTTAACTTGTCGGCGTTTATAAGGTCGTTAGCTCGGCGGCTTTTGCTTTTAAAAAAGGACTTAGCTTCGTAAGTCTTAGCTTTAGCATTTAAGATAATAGCAAATCTTTTTTTAAATGCCGAAAACAACTTTTTTTTATGCTTAATAAAGTGTTTTTAAAACTAAGTTCGAAATATAGCAAAGATAACGATTAATTTTTTTATTACTCGAAGTTCGTTTCAATTTATTTTTCCGATTAAGGCTTTTAATACGAAACTAACGTAATCTAGCTAGATTATAGCGACGAAGAGTTAGCTTAATTTATTAATAACTTTTTATCGAAAGGTCGACGGCATGCGTCTTAAGACGATCGTATAAGCGTGCTTTGCAAAGCTGACTTCATTTTCTAAAGTATTATCGTTTAGCAAAGCGGTGTAGTTATTAAAGAAAATTGCTTATTCGCAAAAGGAATTCTAAAAAGCGTTTATATTTAAAAAAACACTTTATTTCGTAAAGACGAATATAAAAGTAGCGAGATTATTGATTATAACGAAAAGTTAGCGTAGCGCAATGTTCTTAAAAGCATTTAAAGTCTTCGACTTAAGTTTAAAAGCTTTTTATCTAGTAGTCTTTTTAAGGGTCGTATCGTAAGTATAGCTCTTAAGTTAAATAACCAAGCTTCCGATCTGACTTTTTACGCCGTAAAGCATTAAATAATAGTTTAAAACTTTGTTTTTTATTCGTAAACTACGGTTTACGAATCGTTTAATATTAGCGTCGTGCTTAATCGCAATTACTCGAGCATTATTATTACATTTAAAAAGCTAAAAAAGTTTCGAATAAGCAATGAGCTTATAGTTTCCGTCTCGGCGATTAAGTAAAGCGGCAAAGTACAGCTTATAATAGCTTCGAAAGACTTGCTAAGTTAAAAAGTGTATTATATTAAAGAATGCATTAATCGAAGCTCTTTTTAAATCATTAGTCCGAAAGTAATGCAAGTATATCTAGATCTCTTTGTTTATAATAATAAAAAAAGTTTAATTGCCGTGCTTATCGTTTAAAAAAGAAGCTTTTAATATAAGCTAAACTTTCGTATAACTACTCGCATTTATAATATTAAAAAGGCTATTCTTTTAAGCGGTGCTTATTAAGCTAATGCTTTAGTTCAGCTTATTAAAAGACATCGGCTTAGCTTTAAACTTAAAAGAGCTTAAGCTAAACATTCTTTTAGCTAAAATACTGCTTTTAATTTTAATAGCGAATATCGATTAATTGCTCGGGTAAAGCATAAAGTTATTAAAAGCGTTAGTTTAATAAGCTTCGATAAATCGATATAAATTAAAACGGATCACTATTATTATAAAGCCTTTCGTAACTAGCTTAAAGTATTTAGCGTATTCGAAAGTATAAATTTCGTAAAAGACTTTATCTAATAGTTCGATAGCGGACGGTAAGACTTTACGGTTAAAGCGGAGCTTAGTCTAAACGTTTAAATCAAAAAGTTCTTTAAACTTATTTTTAAATTCTAATACGTTTTTCACTTTTTAAAAGATCTTTATACAATCGCAATCGTCGTCGTTAAAGCTTAAATTAAAGATCTCGGATAGTAAGAAGTAGTTTATTACTTTGCTCTCTTCTTTACTTACTTTTATTTAGCTACGACGGTCGAAGAGTCGTAAGATCGCGTTATTAGAAAATTCGTTTTTTAAAAGTTTGCGGATCTAGCTAATAGCTTTTTTAATCGACTCCGCGGCAACTTAAAAAGTATTATCGATATTCTCGTTTAAGTTTAAGCGGTCGAAAGCTAATTAATAAAAGTCTTAGCAAAAGTTAATAAAAGCTACGTTTATACTTATAAAGTCTTTAATCTCGACGAGTCTAAAGCAGCGATTCGATACGGCTTTAGCTAGCTCGTATTTAAAGTTATCTTTTTCTTTAACGAGTAATGCTAATAGCAATTGGTTTTCGAAAAGGTCGCGTTGCATTTAAAGTGCAAAAGTTAAAAAAGAGTTCGCGTCGGTAAACTTACGTAAAGTAGATATAATCGAAGCAACTAATTTAGCGTTCGGAAGCTTATTAGCAAAAGATAACGTCGATCTTTAAAATAAAGCTAATGATAACGAAAAGCGCGCAATAAATGATTTAAGCAAAAAGGTTTTAAAAGCAAAAGGTTAACTTAGTCTCGCTTTAATTGCTAAATTATCTATTATTCGTAAACTATAGTTTACGAATAAGATTTCGGATTCGAGTTTTTTTTGCAAAACGAAATTTTAAGTTTGATTTTCGTCGGCAAACTTTATACGTTCTTTAAGCTCGTCGTATTCGCTCTTAATATTATCGAGAGCTAAAATCAATAAGCTATATAATAAGACTTTTAGTCTTAGCTTCTTTAAAAGTCTTTCGTTCGAAATAGCGATCTTATCTTTCCACTTAATGTTAGTCTTGTTTTCT